TCATTATCAGAGGTGGCTCAATCATAATCAGAGGTGACTCAATATTATAAGAAAGGTGATTCAATGATAATCTGAGAAAGATATTTCCATTAGAGCGTTGATTTACTGATAATCTGACATAGGTGATTAAATGATAATCTAAGAGAAAGGAATCCAGTATGATAAGACTGAGGTGATTTGATGACAATCTGTAAGAAGCGATTTAATGAAATTTTAATACCACTGGATCCAAAGTTTTGGATTACGTAACTAATAAAAACCCATTAGTGTATGGGGCTTCATAAATTCAAGAACAACAGATAGCGACATAGTATTGCGCACCTGCTGCTTTTACTAACCAGACAATCTGAAATTGAGTGGGATTCAAGCAGCAATTGAGGATGAAAACCAAGGTCTTGTACTGTGTCATCACAGCTCAAAATATAATATGAAAGGCTTTTTTGGTTTTGCGTGTCATTCTTGCGCTTTGATAAATACTATTATTTATTTTAATCATTTTTCCTCCTGCTTAATGTGAAGTAAAATTCATCCAAAACTACATCTTGCATAATGGTCGCGAAATAATAAATTTATTTTTATAACTATGGCATTTACAATCCGAGTACAGAACTTAATGGAAGAATTAATTTAGGTTTTAATTCAAATTATACTCCATCTCAAGTGAAATCAAGCGAAAAATTAAAAGAGTTCAGTTTGAAATTAAGTATATCCATCATCAAGCTCTAAGCGAGAATTTCTCACTACTTGCGCTTGCATCAATCGAAGCACATAAATGTGTTTTATTCCTTGTGGGTAAATAATTCAATTTTTCAGACTTTTAATTAAGTTTGCTAATTAAAACATCTTGACGCAAAAGAATGCTGCATTTTTTGGGAAGTTCTTTTAAATCCCATTACCATAGATGTTAATGTTTTATGATAGAAAATGTTTGCTTTTTTTGCCAACAGGAATAAGAAAACTTGTAGGATATCAAAGTGTGGTGTTTAGGGGGCCTTTACCCTAGGGCGTTTGTGGAAATTAATTAATTTAAATAACTAATTAAATATAAGTCATACGTAATAATTTTTACAATTAAAGAAATAAAACTGAATTATGTATTAGGTAAAGTTAATTCGTTTAATTAATGCAAAGGGAAATTTTCATTTTCTGTGAGAGAAGATATAAATCAGGAATTATTACTATTTTTTGTTATCTATTTTAATAACTTTTCGGAGGTTTATTTAGTACAATAAATTAATTAATAATTTACATAGAATGTGAAACATTAAGGAGAAACCAAAGATGATATTTAACTTCTGTTTAAACTTCATAAGAAATATTCATAAATCTTTTTCAAGATAATTAATAAAGAAAAATTTGAAAATTTAAAAAGAGTAATTTATGTAAAATAATCAATATTTCATTTATTTATTAGGCGCCAAAGCTCCCTCTACGGGAACAAACGCATTTTATTGATTGGTTTAAATTTTAATGATATATCACTGCATATGCACTGTGATTGTCTTTTATTAATTTTTATGAGAAGAGAAAATCTTTATTAAGTATTTAAATCTTATAATATTGAGAGAAATTTGCGACTTTGTTGACATTATTTTTTTGAAGTTAGCCCTTAAAATTAATTTTCACTACAACTGTAGAAAATCTATAAAAGTTAGTCATTACGAGGGTTGCTATTTATATTTCTGGCCTAATAATGAAAAAACAAACATGTAGGATCGAAATTGGTTTTATTGTTTTTCAAAATATTCTCCATGATGATCAATACACTTTTGCATGCGTTTGAACCAATTTTCAAAGCACTTTTTCCAGTCCGATTGAGGTAACTCCAAAACATGCGTTTTGAATGCATCAACCGCTTCTTCGGGGGTCGAAAATCGTTGTCCACGTAATTTATTTTTGATGTGTGGGAATAAGAAGAAGTCATTGGGTGCCAAATCAGGGCTGTACGGCGGATGACCCATCAGTTCGATCTTTCGCTCCGTCAGAAATGCCTTTGTTTGAGTCGATGTGTGAGAGCTCGCATTGTCATGATGAAGAATGATTCGCCTGTTCTTCTGCTTTTTTCGAATTTCTCCGATGACTTCTGGCAAACAAATGGTCGTGTACCATTCAGAATTGACCGTCCTGCGTTGCTCTAACGCCACTGTTGCCACATGACCGTTAATGCCGAAGAAACAGGCAATCATTTGTTTCGATGTGCTTCTTCCTCGAACAACTTTTGTTGGTTTTGCCTCGTCTTGGAAGACCCATACAGTTGATTGCTGTTTTGTTTCCGGCTCATATGCATAGATCCATGATTCGTCACCTGTGTAGATGTTATACACAGCCTTTGATGTACCTTGAACGTATTTTTCCAACATTTCCTTGCACCAATCGACACGAGCCTTTTTTTGAGCGTTTGTCAGATTATGCGGGATCCAACGCGAACAAATTTTTTTTACGCTCAAATGTTCATGCAATATTTTATTGATGCTAGTCATACTAATGTCCAAAGACGCCTCTATCTCACGGTATGTCACATGACGATCTTGCTTTATCAGTTCACGCACAGCATCGATCTTTTCTGGCACAACAACGGATTTTGGACGACCTGCACGGGATTCGTCCTGGATCGAACATCGACCACGATTAAATTCGTTATACCAATTTTTTACAGTGCTGTAGGATGGCGCTTTATCGCTGAATAAAGAATTAAGTTCATCGAAGCACTCTTGTCTTGACAATCCACGTCGAAAGTTATGAAAAATAATGGCACGAAAATGTTCACGATTCAATTCCATTTTTTGAAAGAGAAGAACTTTTCAATTTACTGTCAACAACACAAATGAAGCTATAATGGTAAATCGTCTGCTGAATTTATGTTTAAAAATATCAAACTTTCGATTAAAATCGTCTGCGGTCGCCTAGCAACACTTACTGTAGCCAAGGCCAGAAATATAAATAGCAACCCTCGTATTACTACCTGTTTTTTAAACAGTTATGACAAAAATATTCGAAACTCCCTCATTATATAAATAAAAAAAATTATTTCAAATAATTAAAAAAATAAAACATTTTATTTGCGCTAATTATAAAGAACAGCTAAGAGGCATAGAATTTTTTTAATCAAACAGTTATAACAGAAATATTCGTAAAATCCTCCACTAGACATTAAAGAAATTTAAAATATGAAACAAATTTGATCTAATTAAAATCATAACTTTTCTAAACTAGCTAAATCTATTCTAACTAAATTCAAATCTTACTAAATTTTGATCCAAATAAAATCAAAATTTTAAAAATAATACTTTAAGGTAAATAGTAAAAGTTAAAAAAAATATTTTTCACTTTTACCTTCAGTAATTTAAGAGAACAAGAAAAATTAACTGCGAGCATATAATGAGAAATATTTATGAAAACAAATTTTAAACACAATTGTTGACTTCGATGCTGAAAATTTTCTTCATATTTTCCATAAAACAACAAACGCTACGCAAAATATTCTTGGTAAAAGTCCATAAAATAACACAATAGATGTATAGACTAATAGAACGGACAGTGTGTGTGAAAAGAATTTGAGGTAAAAATTCGACAGAATTCCGAAACCAACGGCAGGATTATGGTGAAGTTAACTATCAAAGCGTTGTCAGCATTACGTAGAGGCCGTCTTTTCTTTCCACACTAACTGGTAACCATCAAATAATTTAAATGTTTTATTCAAAGCTATATTAGGTACAAAATACGTTTATTATACGTTACGCTACATTTGATACAAAAACTTTTAAAACCGGAAGTTGTTTAAAAAAACCTTTTTTACTATTAATCACCTCCGTTTCATTTGTAAAATTGTCGAATCAAACCAATGTTATTGTATCCGCATGTGGGTAACTACGTATCCCGCATGTATATTATTGAAAAACATGATTCCAAATTATTTGTATTTTATTTGTATTTGTTGTATTTGTTATATGTATATTTAAATCTATTAACATAAAATGTTTTAACAAAAAAAAAAAAAAACTGCTCGATTTTCTCTTGCCGTCCGGGACACCATCTAAGTTTTCGTGGTTTTCCTTTCCACGTAAAAATCAGGGTTAGTTCCATCAAAAAGCACAATGCTTGATCCAGGAGTTCCCTGGTCTTCGAGAATGGGCTTAAAAGTACAAGGAAACGGAATTGAACATTGATGGTCTTAAACTCAAATTTTTGTCAGTTGTTCAAAGAGGAATATATATATATATATATATTTATATATATCCACCATTTATCTATATATAAATATTCATACACTTGAATCCTTAATTAATATTTTAAATTTTTTTACAAGTTATGGAAGCAGTTTGTTCTGTATATTGCAAGTTAAAATATGGTAATTCTTTGCTTTAGTATCATGGTACATTGGGACAGGTTGTTACTTTAAATTTTAATAGCTGAAATGTTTTTTTTTCTTGAATTATTCGGGTTGGAAAACTATTTTTAACAGGAAAACATTTTTGTAATTAAATGTGTTGCCTCTTTTTTTCCATCTAGCAGTACTGTTAGAATTAAAATCTGAAAATAGAGCACTCTTCACTATACATAATTTAGTTAGTTTTAAAATATTTTTGATATTTTGTTTCATAATTGATTAAAATAGAAAATAAAATTATGCGACTTTAATTTCAGAAATGTTTTTAAACATTTTTATGCACTAATAGCCCAAATTAAAGAAGATAAATTAATATATGCTTCTGAAATAACAATACCAACCGGATATGTTGATAATTGCCGAAATGAAAACTGAACTCTTTTTCCGAAAACCGAGCTATGCCATCACCTGACCCGAAAAACTACTCACCTAAAATTACATCTAAATTATCATTAACCCAACAGAGCTCTTCATTTACTCTCATCAATACAAAATTAAACGCAGCGTGAATCTTTAGAAATCAATTGCTGCTAAAAGGAAATAAATCGAATAAAGAGAATTGTTTGACTGTTCCGTTTGGCGACCTTGGCGCATCTGACTAAGAGCAAGCGCGGCGCGAAACCAAACAACGATACAAATCCCTGCTTCCTACCGTCTTCATCACAAGAAGAACCGATATTCTTTGTTGGCGGTCGGGAGTATCTTAGAACTCTATGCGTTAGTTACATAAAGGAAGATACTATATAAATATATGGTGGAATAAAAATGTTTAATTTGAAGAACCTTACGTAACTGTTTTATGAAGAATATAATGAATTTTTAGTTATTCTTCTATTTTTTTTGATTGGCATTATAATTTATTTATTAAAAGATAATATAGTGAGAATGGAAATTAACACGTGTTTCGTGATTGGCTTGTGTTTAGTGACTTGTGTTAGATTTACCTGTGGTCAAGGTAGGTGATAATTTACTTATATAATCTTTTTTTTCAATAAATATAGCGAATTGGAAAAACTGTTTCAATAATGAAAATGTCACAATACGTACTAGATAAAATAGTTTAAACAATGTAAATATTTCGGTTCAGAGTAAATTAAGAAACTTAGTGTTTAGCATTTAAACAATTTATTCCTAAGCGTTGATTCAGCGATTGTAACAAAATTATTGATAAAATGTCTTTGTTTGTATTATTATTAAGAAATAATATTGTGAGAGTGGAAATTATCACGAGTCTATGATAATCATGTACTTAGTTTAGAAATTCCCATAATGTATTAGTTTGAGAAATTCCCATAATTATCAAACATTACTTTTTTTTAAGTATAAAGAATTTTAGAAAAAGTTTTATTAAGGAGGATATTACAAAACAAACTAATTAAAACAAATTTAATATGTTGGCAAATAATTTAGAAAATAGATGCTAATTGAAGTAACTTATTTTTATCTATTAGTTAGATGATTGTTTAATTCATTAGGATCAGTGAAGAGTATTTTAAGAACATAAGAGTTGCTATTATCAAAATGATCATATTTGTGTTAATTTATTAGAAGTAATACTGCAAGAATAGAAGTTTATGATCTCGTTGTATTCAGTTGCTTTTAAAATGTGTACAAGTTCCAAAATTTGCGTAAAAATTATTGTTTATAAGAACAATTAGCTTTAGTTTTATTATGAAAAAGAAAGAAAATGCAAGACAAATTTAATGTTTTGAAACAAAAGTTTTTTAAGAAATTTATTTTTATGCATTAAATAAGGGATTGTTTTATAAACTACTCATTTTTAAGAAGAATATTTTGACAGGATTTATTTATGATATTATTCAATAAGTGATAATTATTGTAGAATGCAAATTAACAGAAGCAATTTTGAAACTTTTGTGTAAAGTTGACTTTTAAAAAATTTAGGGTTTCAAAAATTAATTTTCTAAATACAGCAATTGCAGAAAAATGTTTTTTGTTAAATTTAATTGAATTATTTTAAATATTTAAAGCAAATTAAATATTTATGAAACTTTATTCATTAAAAAAATTCATTGGATAGAAAATAATCATTATATATAAATCAATTAAGTGATTGAAAACACAAACGGATATTTGATTTCATTAAAAATTATGTTTATTAGAATAATTAGAACGTATTGAACAACAATATTGTTCAAATTCAATGCAATTTTTATCCGGTGGGAAGTGTAATATCCTTATTAAGCTTAAATGAGAAAAATAATATCCTTAACTTCTTTCTACTTAATCACATGATGCTATTATATAACTTAAATCGGGATATGGTAGAAATGAAAGCCTTAAGAAAGATGCAACAAATTTGCATAATATTCTTATTCTATGGTTTACCATATGTGTTTTTGATAGGTCGGTTTACCATATGTGTCAGTACAATTTGACCTTTCAGCTTATAACAGCGAATAACATAATGTTGTGAAGTAAAAACATTTGATGCGTGGACTTATTTATCCAAGCTTATATAGAAATATTTTGTTTATTATTTGTAGTATAGCTATAAGTATTTTTGGGGTATGGCGACTAAATATACATTACAGAAAAATTCTTAAATTCCTTCAAAATTGTTTTATTTTTTATAAAACAATTTACATTTACATACAGTTTAGTTTATTGAAATTTATAATAAAATATTTTATCAGAAAAATTTTATTTTAGCATTATTTTATTTGATTAAAATTTCTAATGAAATGAAAAATAATACTAAAATAAGAATTTTGCTATAAAATTACAATGCGATCCTACCTTAGTAGTTTAGAAAAGAGTTGCAGTAAATCTTTTTTATAGTAGAAATATTTTTTCAAATACTAGGTAGTTATATCTTAATGCACAAGGGAATCGAAAAAAACATTGCGTTGTCATAAAATAGAAAACAAATTGTTTTTATTCATGTGCCTGGAAAAATTACACACACCTTTTGTTATTATACAATTTTCTAGTTATATTAATATCAATATATTCTTTTAGTTCTATTCTGCCGTATACAAAAATATCTGGTTTTTTTATATTTTTGTCTTTTTGAAAACTGCTTTAAATAAGACTGTATAAATAAAAAATAAAAAACGTCGTATTGAACCATAATATAATTCATATATTCTGCAACCTTAAGATGAAAATAAGCTGAACCACATCATCGTAGAACTTAATATTACGATATGAAACCCAGATAACAGACAACCTTACTGCACACATTGTATTTTCATTTTTATTTGGTTAACATAGAAAGGTTGACTAATTAATCCTTCTTTAAACTTAGTAGAAGTATTTGTATGTCAATCTTTTTCCCTTAATAATGGCTTTGCAAATACTTTACAAAAAATCTCATTTCTTAGCTTTTAATGTAAACTAAGTTCTCGCCTTTTTTATTCTTGGTTTGTCAAGGCTCTGAAATGCAACATTTTGTTTGCGTTGAAAACTTAATGGTCAAACAAATCTTTATTTTAAAGCTGTATAAGACTTCACAAGTAAGCCTTGTTTCAGTAATGGTCATAAAATCTGATATAAACCTTAAGAAGGGGAATTTAATCTCAGTTTGGGAACTATTCTTGATTCTCGAATGATGATTCACCCTCGGCTCCTGAAGGTTTTTCTAGCCTTTTTTTGCAAAGGCAGATTCAAAATCGATATAAAAGGGTTGTTTTTGCAACCTTTATATGAACTTCATATCGTGTAAACTAGCATAGTTAGATTTAACATTGCTTCAAGCTTGCATGTTTTATTTGCTAATCATTTGAGACCTTGTTGGGCTTAGTGATAAAGGCTGTTGTTGACATTAAATCCAATCTTATACTACTATTTGGGACATTTCAACTCTTAAATAGAGACAAGGTCCAATTTTACACCTCATTTTACATTTAATTTAAACAGTATTATTATATGACTTTGACGTTGAACTTATTTAAGAATGTATCTAATAAAAATATTATTTCGGTTTACGTTTTGTGAAATAATAGTATCTTATATATAGGATACGAAATATAATATTTTGGTAAATAATTGTGTAACTAACAATGTTTTTATAAAAACATTTGCTGTGAATTATTCGGAATTATTTCTAATTAACATTTGTGACAAATTGGACAGCGCAAATTTGCGAATTGCTTAAAATTATTTATCTTTTGAATTAAAATGGGAGTTATAATTCGTTTAGAATAATTTTGATACCATCTGTAATAACTTAAATAATTGATAGAAACCAAAAATGTTTTGCTATTAGTAACAACATGATCTGAATAATGATTGACTTATTTCATTTTTCTGCTAAATGTGTGCGACTGAAACTATTTCTCTTAAATTTTTGAGAGTTCAGAACATCAAAAAAACTATAGCTAAAATTAATTAAGAGACGTTTTTTTTTAAAAAAAAAAGAAGTAATAAAATACTTTTAAACTGATTCAATTTTATATTCAATTTGAAAACTGATCATTGCATAGAAAACTCAATAATAAAACAATATATTTAAAAGTAATGCTTTTTAAACTTAAATATCAGAAAATAAAATAATGTTTGGATGAACTTTAAATAGAAATATGTTAAACAAACATTAATTTATTATTTGCATATAGTAAATTGTATTAATTATTCAACAATAAATTAATTTATCATATACATAAAATGCATACTTTATTAATATTTAATTACTACTGTAAGATTTAATAGCTAATTACGTTATAATTAAATTATTTTATATATAATTCTTAATAAGTAAGTCATGCCTTAAAAATTAAGTTTAAAAAAGAAACAATTAATTTAAATCAAGATTGAAAACTCAATAAGTATTCCTTATTTCCTGAAAAATAATACTTCTGAAGAATAATAGATTGATGGGATAAAAGCAATTTAAATTTATTAGATCGTATATTTATATTTCAATTCAGTATATTTAATAACTAACGCTATTCTAACATTTTTAAAGTTCGCAAAGTTAAATAAATTTAAAAGTTAATTTAAATAGTTGGTCGGTATTTTTTTTAAAGGATATTGGAAAAAGATTCGTATCGATTTGGGGAAGAATATTCTTCGATTTAGCTAACTTATTATTTAATTCAGATGCCTTGTTCTTACTCTAGAAAATCGATTGTAATGGAATTTTTTTTATTCGACAAGAGCTTGATTGTTGCAGTGTAATTCAGCTTATATAGTTTATCTGTAAAATAGTTTTAATAGTAAATTTAATAGTTTGGAATAAAAGAAAAATCGTTGTATGATGAAAATCGTTTGAATAAAATAAAATTTCAGTAGAAGTTTTTATTAGAACAGATTTTTATTGCAATATTTTTTTTCTAATTCTACTAAATGTTAAGATTAATTAAAAATAACTTCTTACACGCGGTGAAAATAATTCTGGTAAAATTACAGCACTGTATGGTAATTGCATTTGTTGTCAAAAACAACAATATTACTTTGGTCAATAAAACCAAAACTAACAGCATTTAAACTATTTATTTGGAAATTTTTCTATTCATATGCTAACGGTTTACTGGAAATTCTGGTTTTCTAAATTTAGTCATTATTACCACAGATTTAGCGAAAATTACAGAACTCAAATCTAAATTTAACCAAATAAATGATTTTTATTCCTTGCCCTGAGGTATCATGATAAGATTACCAATTTTTATCACATATTTTAATACCCAATTTTGTATTTAATTTTAATAAAATCGTCAACATCGGTAAGTTTCGGTAAAATTTACCTATCTTCTGGGTGTTCCCATAGAATTATTCTAGTTTTGACCATTCATTTTTTCTCAGTGTAGGAAATATAAATGCATATTTTTCATAACTTTAAAGCTTTTTGGCTTAAGATAAATCAAAAGCGTTGTGGAGAAATCTTCAGAGGAAGGCATTGGCCTACATTGAGCTGCCTGGCCAACTATAACGACTATGACGAAAGTTTTATGGCAACAAAACTTTAATAAGAGAATGGCATATGGTGCAATT